AAAGAAAGAGAGAGAGAGAGAGAGAAAGAGAGGAAAGAAGGAAGGAAGGAAGGAAGGAAGGAAGGAAGGAAGGAAGGAAGGAAGAAAGAAAGAAAGAAAGAAAGAAAGAAAGAAAGAAAGAAAGAAAGAAAGAAAGAAAGAAAGAAAGAAAGAAAGAAGAGGGGAGAGGAGAAAGGGGGAGGGGAGGGTGGGAAACAGGACTTCTGCACACCCTAACCTGCTACTCAGTCAAGTGAACTTGACCCTTCATCTGCTGGCCCGTGGAAGGGAGGAACAGTTGTGCTGTGTGCTGAGGTGAGAAGCAGCTAAAGATCTGTGGGTTGTGTGTGCGCTAAGTGTATGCATTCTTGTCTTTAGCTTCTGTGGTCACAGTCACGCTTGGGAACACGGCCTCTGTCTTCTCACTTTCAGAAATCCGTGTGACACTTTTCCTGCCGTTCCAAGCCCTCAAATGTTTATCCCTTCTGTATTTGAATTGAGCTATGCCTGAATCCACTGAAACCTAAAAAGTGGAGAGGCTTGACCATGGCCTCAAATCAATTTACTGGCTCTGCTGGGTCTTGACCACTTTGCCCAAGCCCAGAGCCTATACCAGTGCCTGGTACACAGAGACTGGATAATCGTATTTTCTGAGTGAACCTAAAGTCTCTACTCCCAGCCTCTTGCTTTGACCATTGTTCCTGGAATATTCCTTACTTTACATTTCTCAGAAAGCCTCTGTAAACGACACGTTCTTCGACTCGAGAGTCTGTCTTTGTTGGGCATCTGGACTGCTAAAGGGATAGAGACAAGCTGAGACCGGTTTTCTCCCTTCTAATCCCTGCTTTCTTTCCATTAAACAATACTGTGCAAACTCCACCCTCCCATGGTTTACCGTCACTAAGTACCATCTGCACTATTACTTACATAATTTTTAATGTAAGTTAATTCGCTCTTTCTTAACTTGAGGCTATTTTAAATGGAAACTCTATATCATTACCATAAATGGAAACCCAGTAAGGATAGCCATATACAGATGGTAACCATAAAAATAAACACAATAAAAACCATTCGGGCTGGATACTGTGACTTGCTGAAGCCTCCAGTTCTGGAACGCACTCCTGTGGGTGAGCCAGTGTAAGAAGTGCTGAGGGCCAGCCAGACCCATGCTGAGATTTTATTCTCACCAAGTGATCAGAAAGGTAGGAAATGCTTTTCTAGATATTTTATTGGAATATGATATGCAAGCCAAAAGACACATAGCATAAACTTGAAACACATTTGCAAAGTGCCAGTTGTTTAACAAGCACCCAGAACAAGAAAGATATTAGCCAGCATCCTCCACACCCTTTGTAGTAGGTATTGCCTCCATTGTCCACTAGGACAAACATTACCCACACTTAGATGAACCTGGGTGCATTTTGTTTATTCCACTTTTTATTTCTTCATAAGTGAAAACATACACTGTGCAGTCTTTCCGTCTTTAGCATGTGTGTGTGTGTGTGTGTGTGTGTGTGTGTGTGTGTGTGTGTGTGTGTGT